CTGCCAGAATGAAAACTATGTATTGTTCGGAAACATACCACTGGATAGCCCTTGAAATTCTCTACAAAGTTAGCTGGTCACAATATCTGGACTGGTCGGGCCAATTATTAAAGCCAGCGACGTTTAAGTAACAGCGATCATAGTTTTGTGGAATTTGACCTAAATTTCAATATCACGCGTAAAAATAAAATAATTCGTACTGTTTATGATTATGATCCGGTAAATTGGGAGATGATAAATGTACGCTTTAAAGAGATTCCTTTGGGTTAAATTCTGAAAAACTATAACAATGTTAGCGAAAGAATACAAGCATTTGAAGAAATATTTTTAGAACACATTAAAAAATATGTGCCTCATAAAGTAATAACTATGAAGCTGTGTGATAAAATTTGGTTTAATGATAAGTTGCGCGTGCTATATAAAAGAAAGTGTCTATTATATCGTAAAAGTAAACAATCAGACTGTCATTTGAATTTATATAAAGAAATAGCAAAAAACTTTCAAGATGAATGTATAGCTACGAAAGAGCAGTACTACAGAAGAATAAACGCAAAAGTATGTGCAGCTTCCAAAAATTGGTGGAGTTTGGTTAAGCATTCGATGTACTTGTTACTGCGACACAAGAGAAAGTAGAAATATTGAATGAATTTTTTGCTGAAGTTTGCACTTGGCATGGACCGACTGTTGATCCTAAAATTGCAGATAGTTTATCATCGTCCTCCGCTTTCCTTCATGAGTTAACTTACCATTTACATTATCGCCCGTAAAATACTAGATACGCCTTGCGTAGTAATCAAGTTTCTTCCGTTGAATCTGTTGATCCTGTCCCAAACGACTTTTCTCTTTAGTTGCACTTGATTGGAATGAATTGATACGAAAACAACCTATTATTATTTATATAGGCGTAAGTGCATTGATAGTCCGGACTGCGCTTGTGGTAAAAACAATGAAGATATAGACCATTATTTATTGAGATGTCAGTTATATATTTCTGAACATACGGTGTTGCGCAATAAGTTGAACTTTCTTTCTAACCTCAGTGTGGACGTATTACTACTGAATGACTTAAATTTTGATGATAATTTTATGCGCAGTATTCTGACGGAAGTTATTATCTACATAGATGAAACAAAACGTGTCGATTAAATAAATAAATGACCAGCAGCGCATCGTTTAAAAGGTTCTTCTTCCTCTACCACTAAATAACACTTCTCCGGGCATTCCATAGTGCTTTGTCACCGGAATACTTTTGTACCTTTGATTTGGTACCTCGAGAATTCCTTGCGCTACAATATCGTATATATATACGATAGTGAAAAACGTATCCCGCGTCCCCTTTGACATCAGAAATACTTTGTGTAAAGGCGGGAAAAGTGGATGGTTTATTCCACGATCAGTATCTTTTGATGCCCGTTCCTCAGCTAGCCACTACGATAGATACACCATTCGATACAGAATTTCCTGCGCTATAATGTCATCTATATCTGCTAGTGACAAAAGCGTCCCAAGACCCCTTGACATTTGAGCCGCTACCGGAAAAGCTCTGAAAATGAGTGGCTTATTCCACGATGAGTATCCTGTGATCAACGTTTCCCAACTGGCCACTACGATAAATATATCAATCGACAGAAAATAACTTGCGCTACCATTTCATGTATGTAGATATACCGATCGATAACGGATACCTTGCGCTACAATTAGAAATGCTGACTGGAAAGACGTGAAAAGTTGGCAGCTCATTCCACGATGAGTATCCTATGATCAACGTTTCTCAACTAGCCGCTACGATAGATATACCAATCGATAGACAATTCCTTGCGTAATAGCCCTTGAAAATCCTACAAAGTTAGCTGCTCACATTATCCGGACTAGCCGGGCCAAAGTATTAACGCCAGCCATTAAATAAGACTTGTCCGAGTATTCGATAGTGCTTTTTCACCGGCATATTTGGGTACCTCGACAATTCCTTGCGCTCAAATTTCAAATATATATCATAGTGAAAAGCGCGTGTCTTATTCCATGATGAGCATACTATGATCAACGCCTCCCATCTAGCCACTACGATAGGTATACCATTCGATAGAGAATTCTCATATCATTCAATTTTCATTTCATGTATAAATGACAGTGAAAAACACGTCCCAGGACCCCCATTAGAAATGCTGATTGGAAGGACCTGAAAAGTGGCCGATTTATCCCACGATGAGGATCCTATGATCAACGTTTCCCATCTAGCCACTACGATAGATATAGCATTCGATAGAGAATTCCTTGCGCTACAATTTCAAATATATCTGTAAGTGACCATAGTGTTCCAGGACCCCCATGACATAAGAAATACTTTCTGTAAAGCCGTCAAAGGTGGGTGGCTTATTCCACGATCAGTCTGCTTTGATGAACGTTTCTCAACAAGCCAGTACGATAGGTACACGAATCGATAGAGAGTTGCTTACGGTACCAGGTCATGTAAGTAACATAGTGACGAAAGTACCGGGCTTTTCTGCCAGAATGAAACTTTTGTATTGTTCAAAACATTCCACTATATAGCCCTTGAAATTCTCTACAAAGTTAGCTGGGCATGATATCCGGACTGATGGGAGCAAAGCATTAAAGGCATCCATTAAGTAAGTCTTCTCCGGGCGTACTATAGTGCAAAATCTTTAGGCTATTGAAAACATTATTCAGATTGGTTCCAGCTTTTACTAAAAGGTGAAAAACAGGAGAGTTCTTGTGATTATGACGCACTATAGTGCCAAAGGCCTCTTTACCATATCTTTAATGGCTGGTCCGACCTCTCCGGATATTGTGACCAGCTCTCTTTATAGAGAATTTCAAGAGCTATCTAGTGGTATGTTTTCAAACAATATATAATTTTCATTATGGACGAAAGACGACTAACGGAGTGTGGAAAGCACTAGGATACGTCAAAATCATCATATCGGCCAAGTATTTCAACTGCTGACCCATACGGACATATTACTGAAAGACCTATTTAAAGTTCATTTTGAAGCTCGGGAATTTTTCTCTATTGAATGGTATATCTATCGTAGTAGGTAGTTGAGAAATGTTGATCATAGGGTCATCGTGGAATAAGCTACCCGCTTTTCACGGCTTTGCCGAAAGTAGTGCTAATCTCAAGATGCCCTAGGACACGTTTTCACTATCATATATATATGAACTTGTAGCGCAAGAAATTCTCTATGGATTGGTATATCTATCGTAGTGGCTAGATGGGAAGCGTTGATCATAGGATCCTTAGGATAGAATAAGTCACCCACTTTTCACGGGTTTACAGAAAGTATTTCTAATGTCAAGATGCCCTTGGACACTTTTGTCACTATGTTACCAACTTGAACTGGTTGCGCGAGAAATTCTCTAGCGACTGGTATATCTATCGTAGTGGCTAGATGATAAAGGGTATCATAGATTATCTTGGGCTGTTTGCACATAAAAGATTATTTTCCGCATTTCTAACGTCTGCCGAGTGCCTAGAAATGTTCTCATGTTTATTCTACATCGAATCATGTATGTGTCGATGTAATTCAAGCAGGGGCTAATTCTATTAAATAATCGCCCCTGTCCTTTCGAAAAACACAAAAGTGGTTGTATAGGAGTTTTCTCCAAAAAATGAAAATCAACGGAAACTTTCAAATCATATATCATGCGAATCAGTCTTTGACGCTGACTCTGAATATGATACTTTTATCGCATAAAAAGTGAGTTCTGTTGAAGAAGATTGAGAATTACGGGCAGAATTCCGATCTTTTCGCTCCTGATTTAGCAAAAGTGAAAGGACGGGGGCGATTATTTGATGGAATCGGTCCCTGCTTGAATTCGATCGAAACACACATGGTTAGATGCAGAATGAACAGGGGAACATTTCTAGCCACTCGGCAGACCTTGGAGTTGCTCTGAGAAAAAACTAGGTCTAATTTACCGTAACCAAAGTTCTGCTCTTCTTTAACAGGCCATACAGGCCGATCGAATGGCGCAAGAATGAACGTTCTATCTTTCACCAAAAAAACCTAGATAGCTTTTTCCGACGAGGTATCTGCTTTCGAGATATCGTTGAAGATGTATTCTTTGTACAATGATATTACAGATGAGAAGCATCAAAAACACATTTTCTAATTCAATTTTCAACGCTGAATTAGAAAAAGCTGTTTGAGAGCTTCAGAATAAAATGGAGAACAAGTATTCAACTTTTTTCGAAATGGGAAAGTTTTTCAGATTTTAAGACCCTTCCCGTATTTTCAATTTTTCGACACGCAAACGTGTAGCGGGAAGGCTAAAAAGGCGATATTGATGATCAATTTCAAATTCTCTATCGAATCATATATAAAGAAGCTAAAAATAAAATAGTGCTTAATTTTTGAATTACGCGCCCCTTAAAATTTGACTGAAAAAGAATAAATATACTGAGAACTCGCAAACTTACAAGCTAAAGTGCGTTCAGTTGGACTTAACCTCAAGTGTGTTGTGCCAACCGCTGTCATACTTTTGTAAAGAGAATACTTTAAGATCTAATCTCTATTCCTTTGTAATTTTCCTAGAAAATGATGTCAAGATGCATTAGTCTCAAAAATAAAATTCAAAATATTAATTTGTTTGAAGATATTGAAAAGACAGAACGAGAAGATCTAAAAAACCAACGTATTTCTACCTACGTCTATCTGATTCTGTTTATTCTCACAGTCATTGCACTCATTCTCTATACATCTCTCACACCAATGACAAAAACCGGCGTCGTAAACCAGCCTACTGTTTCTGTCTACAAAAATCTACTCTCGAACCATTCAAATACATTAGTTTGTCCCTGTTCAACGATCCTAATTCAATATCAAGATTTTATTTCCTCATTCACACATACATTCAATCAAATATGTTCAAGTGATTTTGTCAGTGAAGAATGGCTAAACTATATCAACTACCGACCATTAAACAATGTAAAATATCAACATCCCTATGATTTTCGTTATTCCGGATATTCATTCTTCATTATGCTGAAAATTTTGTGCGCTCTCGTTTCACAAACAATCGATGATCAGCTGATTCAACTGCAAACAACGACACTATTTTCCGAATCTGTTCAACCCGATAATATTATTCTAGCTAACGCCGAAGCAATACGCGAACAGTTTGTTAATACAACATCAAACTCATTTTCAGCTGCACTCAACACGATACGCACAGTACTCCAAGGTAATCAAATTGTTAATCGTCTAAAAACAAATTATCAACTGGCTATACCATCAACCCGTAGCACCGTCCAACAGCTATCTCATACGGCAGAGTATTCATCTGTAAATGATAGTTGTATGTGTTCACTATCATCCTATTGTAAAGCAACTACCGGTATCTACAATACGTCTGCTTACATCCCAAATTGTAAATATGACCATACACCGCCATGCAACAGTAAAATAGACGGTGAAATAGAATTTGATGTGCCAGGTATTAGTGTTGGCTGTTTAGTTCTGGATGCTGTTCTACAGTCAGATTTATCTTGTTTCTACAATGAATCTTGTTTATCTGAATTAAAGTTTCAGTTGACAGATTCACCGTCACCATTTAATGCTACACCGCTCAAAGTCAGCACTTCAGGAGCTTCTCTACCGACTATTGGTGATCTCATTGCGAATTTGATGGTGGAGGAATGGTATTTTAATTCATCCTACGAATCGTATTTTGATCAGTGTAATCCACAAACGTGTACCTATACATATGTTAAACAATTTGATATCGTCTATGTGATTACGAAAACAATTGCCTTCATCGGTGGTATTGCAACAATTCTAATGCTGATTACACTACCAATTGTTACAAATATTCGACAATGGATCAGTGCACGACGATCATCAGCTCACGGTAAAGTAGAGGGAAAAACTTGCTATATGTCTATGTGTCGATGTGAAAAACACTATTGCCACTAGAAAAGCCGCTCTCTTCTATCTAGTGCGTCGTTTCCAGAACGAAGTTCTGCTAGTTTCCGACTTTACCACTAAAAACAGATTAAAATATGGCCCGGTGTAAAATACTACTCTTCTTATACATAACGGTTCACTCTTCTCTTCTCTAAAGCAGCTGCGCATAAAAAGAAGA